GCACTCAGTGCAAACCGAGTGTTCGTCATCGTCAGGCCGTGAGTGGCACACAGTGAGAGCAGCCTGTCACCGTTCGCATTCGCTGAACCAATGTCATGCGAACCGATAACATCTGTCCACGCTGATGCATTACGCCCAACGCGCGCGTTGAAATCACCCAGCAGAAATAGTCGGTCGCTCCTCGACACAGACCGTATCACGGTGTAGAATTCGTCACGCGCTTCATCAGGATAACACATGGTCGGACCATACGTGCTTATAAAAGTAGCAAACACCTCTCCAGAGTCGTAGGCAAACAGTCATCAGTCGCGCGCTGATGCCTGTTGGTTCACCCACCAGCTGGCCATTCAGGCGATCGGATATTGCAAATCCGACCCCATGTTCACGTGTTGCTGATGCGGCGTTGTCCACCCAGTAGAATGTGTAGCTAGCACATGCTTCATGCAACTTACCTTGCTCAGCGAGCCGAGTTTCACTGAGCGCCGCAATATCGATGTGGTAATGCGCCAGCTGCATCGCGACCAGTGCAGTGCGTCGCTCGGGGCGCACACTGGAGTTTCGGTCCAATAGTGTGCGCACGTTCCAGCACCCGATGCTGAGTGCCTTGCGCGCAGGCATAGGATTGCATTGGTGGGCAATCGCACGCGAGGTGGTCGTTGTGCTTCGGAGGTTTGCTTGAGGGACTCCACCCGGAGCCTTCGGCTCAATAGCCTGACCCACAAGGCAGTGGGTGGCTTGGAGGTTTGCTTGAGGGACTCCGCCCGGAGCCTTTGGCTCAGTAGCCTGACCCACAAGGCAGTGGGTGATTCGGAGATTTTCTTGAGGGACTCCAACCGGAGCCTTTGGCTCAATAGCCTGACCCACAAGGTAGTGGGGAGCAGGTCCAGCTCGGGAATGTGATTGCAGAGACAGATTGGGATCTGCTTGACGGCCGTCACACGCAGCCTTTGAGGTACTGGAATAATTATCATATGTTTTGCGACCGTAATTGGATACGCACCTGCGACCACGGCCAGACGCAGGTGGGTTTCGGCAGGTTTGCACCAATTTGACCAGGGTCTGCCTGGCTTGAGGCGGGCAGTAGCAAACCATTGAACACCCGGAGGTGCCCTCCCACCGTCTGAGACAATGCGTGGCGCTCGTGCTCTATGCCAATCGAGCTGTGAGCTTATAACCCGTAGACCTGTTGTCTCCCATGGCTAGGTATTACGGAAAAAGGGCATCGACCACTTCCTAACCTCCGAAGAGGATGGACTAGGATACTACCAGGGCGCCCAAACCTGAGAGGAGAACGACTCGGGTCCTCAGCCAAAGCCTTCGATTAAATGAACACCCGAAAGGCAGCGGGCCTGACTATATGGTCAGTTTATTGACTCATGCGGATTGGTGTCCTTGATCTTAGCAGAGAGAAGGGCGAAACCCAACTCCCACCCAGCGGTCGCCACGAGGAGGCGCCCAGGACATGAGCTCCAACCACACACCCCATATCCAGTGTAAACTCGAAAGAATAAGACCGGGAGGCATGTGGATGGGAGCCACGTTTCGTCAAGGGAGCTGGCCCACACTCCTTCAAATGTAAACAAAAGCTTCCTGTGTTTGGGGAATCAGCTGCACACAGGGAGATCTCTGGACCGTAGTGCGCTCCACACTGAGTGCATGGAACCACTCTTCGCGCCTTAGAAAACCACAAGGACCGTGCACCCCTTCCCCTCCAGCAACGACCATCTGTCTCCTGGGGCCAGTATGGACGAGGTAGTGGGTAATAGACAGGTAGGCACCTTGTCAACATGCACATCAAGCGCAGCCACACCGGGGATATCTAGCAACAACCAATCACATGAAACGACATGATAAATTAAATTGAATCCAATAATGCATGGAGGTACGGTGGCAGGACTTCGCTAAATTAGCATATGAATTAGGTTGGTTTGCAACGAATCCGCGATAAGGAAAACGTGTCCACAAATTTCTTAAAAATGCTACAAGCACATCCAAGTTATGGAAGATAAGCGCGATTAGCGTAATTGACGTGGCCAGTTAATAGAAGGTTATTTAGGCAGGCAGAACAAACCAAATAAACTGGAATGAAATTTATCCAACTTGAAAAGACCGCGTTTAAGTGTAGGTTGGTTTGGCCGAACTGCGATGAAGAAGCATCAAGAATACAACATCAGCCTCAGCATAGGGCACACACATACATGATTGGCGGCATCCGGTTTCGGATTTGCCTGTCACTGTGGCCAGCCACAGGACGCCTGCGCCTACAGAGAGACCATGGATGGCTTGCGGTTCATCACCCACAGCTCCAACCACACATCCCATATGCATTGTAAACCGAATGAATAAACCGGGAGGCATGTGGATGGGAGCCGCGTTTCATCAACAGAACCGGCCCACACTCATTCACAGGCAAACACAAGCACACTGTATTTGGGGATTCAACCGCACACATGGCGGTGGCTGGACCATAGTCCGCTCTATACTGGGTGCATGGAATCACTCTTCGCGCCTAGCATAACCACAAGGACCCTGCACCCCTTCCCCTCCAGCAACGACCTATTGTCTACTGGAGCCAGTATGGACGAGGTAGTGGGTAATAGACAGGTAGGCACCTTGTCAACATGCACATCAAGTGCAGCCACACCAGGGATTTCAAACAACAGCCAATCATTCAAAATGCCCATATCGATTAAAGTGAACGCATATGACGACATAAGTACTCGTAAAATGAGCATATGGACGGAATTGGTTAATGGTGAATACGCGATAAGTACAAAATGTCCGAAGCTTATTTGAAAAATACCTCACCATAAAATTACGCAAGTTTAGCACAATTTGCATTAGCGAAGTGTGCTAATTGCGAGAAGATTATCAAGTAAGCAGGACAAACCAGATAAAATGTGATGAATTTTATCCACAATTAGTAGACCTAGTTTATGCGTAAGTTGGTTTAGCGCAACTGTGTTGAGGAAGCATCATGAATGCAACGTCAGGCTCAACATGGCGTGTACATATATACCTGTATATATATATATATATATATATATATATATATATGTTACTTTTTTGACAGTGACGAGACAATACGAAATGTTAACGTCTTCCATCGTTCGTCTTCTCACAGCGTTTTTTAACTGTTATGGAGAACTGAAAAGTAGCCTCAGCAGTTCGCCGGTATGCATTACTTACGCCTTGCTGCCGCGCAACCACCACCGGTCGCACGTGAGTTACGGATACTGCAAGCGTCGCCCTGGCCCTACACAGCCTCATACTCGCATTGCAATATTACGAGGCAAGCTTGTTACCTCTATTCTGCGGGCTGGCCTGTGCAGAACAAACCGTTTCGTCTTGCCACTGTGTTTCTTGCAATGCAAAACCATTTTCAGGAAGACAAGACGCAAATGATCTGCATGAGTTTGCTTCCTCTGTGTCCCCATTTTTGAGACATCGTTTTTTTTACGGTCAGGATGTCACCCGGAACGAGCTACTTTACTTATCCCTACCAGGGGGCCTTTGCCACTGAAATATGCCGCTTGTCGATGAACTTCCATATAAACAATTGCTTCTGCTCTAAGCTGCAGCACAGCTTACCAGCTTTTTGCTATTCGTCACATGCCCATGTTGGATCGATCGCATTGTTCTAGCTTGTGTTGCAATGAGCTCAGTTAGTAACCCTCAGTTGGTTTCCACTTTTGCTAACGCAGTGTGAGATTTCTTTTTATTGTCTACTACCAGGCATCGTTAATCCTTTTTTATGCTGCTTAAGATTTACGCAGACGGTTGATTTGTCTTATTCACGAGTCTTTTGTTACTACTGTACCCTAGCCGTGAGTTATTACACTGTATATGTCGCTGTTGCTTTTGATATCCGTCTGAGTAATTAACTGGTTCTTCTTTAAACAGGTAGTTAGTATTTATTTAATGGTGTTCGCATTTTTTGTTGGACTGCCACTCAACCTTACTGCTTTTGAATGCTGGTCGCACTCTACGACGAGTGTTGCGATGTATCTGTACTATGTGTAAAAATCCACCACACCGTTGCGACCACTTACAACAAAAGAACATTCTTCTTTTGACATGTTGCACCTGGTTTTATCTACTTGCTCATCTGGTTTGAGCGGTATTCCTTGCTAACCAGGCTGCTTCGTTTCCTCGAAACTTATCAGTGGCATGAGCTCTTTTGTCCTAGTGATCATTCAAAAGTTTATCTACCTCTTATAAAACGCCAGCCCTTAGCCTTAAAGATCACAAGCCTGCCTTGTAATCCGAGGGCAAGAGTTCGAGCCTGCGTAGTGGACCTGGCGACGCTCGCATTACTCTTAGCTCATATGTGACTGGTGGTAGTTGCGCGGTATCGAAGTGTCGGTACTGCGTACCGGCGTACTGCTGATGCCTTTTTGTGTGAGATGGAACTTGTGACCTCCACTTAACGTAGTTTATCAACCTTATAGGATAGTTAGTTCCTTGTTTCTTACCCTACCGAGAGTGTACATCTGAGCTAAAATATTCCGAACGTCAAGCGTGATCTATTGATTGGTTGCACTACATGTTACAGGTTCTTATATTGCAAATAGTTGAATGAAGCGTTGCTTTGAATCTCGATAGCATTTATTTCATTTGCAAAACAAAACTGGTGTTCTTAAATGGTAAAATCAGTGCAGTTGTTTCACAACCTTACCAGTCCTGGCTAGTGGCTAGATTCGTTTATATCTATATCCCCATCTTCACTGATGCCATTACTAAGATTTCCACACCTGTGCTAAATGCTACCTTTTGGAGATCAGCCTTGTACACCTCTCGCCCTGCGATATCACCATCGAAACGACTAAGATGTCCTAGTTAAAATCTGAACAAGCAACTGTTAACCATTGTTTCAATGTTTTTCTCACATTGTATCCTTAACTCGCTTAATTTTGCCGGATGGTCGGTGCCGTCATTCACTCCCTTTTATTGCTTTTTAAAAGTCCGTCGTTGGGCATTTGTCAGAAACTATTTCCCTAATGCATCAGCTTCAGTGGCTTCCATTCTTTATTCCTTCCCTTAAACCTCTACGTTGTAGGGTGGAATTCCCGTATGGTCCCTACTCCCCGGTTGGACGTCAGCGTTTGGAATTAATGGTTTTACCTGAGGAAGCGTTGAAATTTCTCCTTGCTCGTGAACTATTTCGTCTGGGAGCTAGATGCCTTGATGGCTCTGAACTGTTCTGTTCCTCGAGAGCACGTGCCATGATGACAGTTGGGGGAATGGTTGGCGGCTTGTACGGTGCTTATCAGGTGGGGGTCAAATAGCCATTACCTGAAGAGTACTGAACGTCGATCGTTCACACTATCCTGTTTTGTACCGATCTCTGTTTATTGCTTTTCCGATTGGCCAGGATGCCAACTTTGTTCCTATTCGTTGTTGGATCCTATCGATAGTGAAAAACCGTTGAGTATATTACAATATCTGTGCAATCAGAATAAGTTAAATTGGCTGTTGTATGGTATTTGGTGTTGCTCACTCCTAGTACCCGTCCTTAAACTGACTGTCGTTTTCTTGGCCGTATTCTTCACTATTCTTGTATCACTTATTCTCCCCTTTACCATTATCCCTCTATCTATTACCATCCCTGAGGCAATAGCTTGACAGTCTACCTTGATGTGCCTACCATCTTGGTTTCGGTCACCGAAATGAGCCTCTACTACGTCATCATGCGTGCACGTTTCGCTCCCTGGAATAAATCGGCAACCAGAGATTGTGACCCACCAAGGCTGTTGTTCGCTCAGCTTTATAAGCCTTGAACGTGTTGAAATCCTTAGTCTATGCTACGCTGTACCAATTCAACTAGCTTCTGCTGTTTGTTCATATTTTTCACTATTACTACATTTGATCTCTGTTCGCCTGTTCATGCGAAACTCTACATCGCGAAGAGTCTGGACTTTTGTGTTACCTGGTGGTCTTTGTAGAGCAGCAGTCCTTTGAGCTACGCTGGGTGGCACCCTACAATGTCCCTTCAGGGCTGCTCATATCATACAGGTCAGTGGTTAGAGATCATACAAACCTAGCCTCTCATTAGTCGGCCGGTGGTCGAGTGGTCTGCACGTTTGGTTTGCAACCATAAGGTCACCGGTTCGAATCCGTGTAGGGGTGGGCGTCCTCGCGATATACTTAGCCCGCACGCGACTGGTGGTGATCGCGCGGCAGCGAAGCGCCGTTACGGCGTATAGCTGACACATTATTATTATTATTATTATTATTATTATTATTATTATTTATTACTTATTATTATTAGATGTTTGCCATTTTCCGTCGAAATACGCTATGTTGATCACTGCGTCAACTGAAGATTTCCCACTCTTCTGAACAACTGTGGACCGAAGAGATGTAGTTCGAGCGGGATTCTCTGCGAATCGGAATCGTGCAGTTTCGAGTTGCTACTGGTGTTTTGGTCAATGGTTCAATTCTTTCTATGGTGCTAGTATCTTGGTTAGTTTTGCTCTCACTGCCAATCATCACCATCATCATTAAACATTAGCTGAAGGTGAGAAACACACTCCAACCATTGAGCCGCAATAGCTAACGATGAAACCTACGAAAAAAGCTGCACACCTAGCATTATAGGATTCAAAAAAACAAGCAACACACTACTTAGTAGCCTATTATGCTTCGAGTGTGAGCGTGGTTGGAGAGGGAAGGTAAACGGGTTGGGAGGGACAAAGAAACTCAGAACGCAAACGCCATTGAGATCGGCTCCTGGCCATGTCAGCTAGTGTATCCAACCAAACCTTTTTCTCGTACTTCGGACCCCAGCCCGGCATCGGGATACACAAACCGACGCCGACTTCGAAGTGAGGTATTTCTTAACCAAGTCATTGCTTGGCCTCCCCCCTCTCCTATCCACAGCCCCTGCACACAAGCAACACACGCCGTGGGAGTCTGTGTGCTGGCATGTGCAACACGTGACCCAGTCCTATGATCCTGCTGCGTGATCTAACAGTGTTGAGCGGATCACTCGCTCTTCCTGCACCAAATACGCGACGCCGAACGCATTCATTGCTCACGCGGCGCTCCCACCAGACATGAGCTAAGCTGCGAAAGCAGCGATGGTCGAACGTGGCTAGCCTATTTATATCTGTCGACATGAGGGGCTAGGTTTAATGACCGTATAGGAGGGTTGAATGGTCGGTTGCATTATAAACTATCTTTCAGGGCGAGAGTATTATCGCGTCGACGCCACAGATTTGGGGATGGGCAAAAGCACTTCGAGCTTTTGCTATGCAGTTCATGACCTCATCATCATTTCCACGGCCAGGAGTGATGTTAAGATGTGATCAATACAGTCGTGACTTTGACAAAACCCGGCTTGCTCCTCATGAATCTGGCTTTCACGTGTGCCAGCAAGTCTATGAAGAACGAAAGACGCGAATATCTTGGAGGCAATTGTGACCAGACTGATTCCTCTATGATTACCGCACTCCAAAGGTGAGCCTTCAATATTAGTGCTATTATGGAGCAGGTCCAGTCTGCTTGCATAGTTTTCTACTCCCACTGCTTCACCAGTATGTTGTGCATATCATCTTTAGGAGCAGATCCCACGAATTTGAAGACAACTGGGGGATTCTGTTCGACTTATGCGTTCGAAAGCGGGTTCAGGGGGACGGCCCCGGGAAAAGGACGATCAATGGCCAAAGGAGAAGCTCGTAACTCTAGTTGATCAAACGTTTTGACAAGCTGAGGATAGGCCGCCCACTCTCGTTACCTATGGCCTTGTTCACACCAGGTCTCCCTCTGCTAACTTCGCATGTCAAACGGTATAACTTCCGATGGTTACCAAAAGCAGCGTCATTACCATCTCCGATGCACGACGAGACCACTATATTTCTTAGTCTCTCTTCAGGCTAGCTTGCAGTTTCGCCCTGTGGTCTTTGCGAGTCTTGTTATGCTCGCTCCCAGCCGGAATGTGTCCTTGGGCACACAAGTTTCAGTGACTATATAGTGACCCAATATTCGGGTTAGCAACTTGATTTGTCACATGAAGACTTGCCTGTTGTTGATAACGTCTGATGCATATGCGACCACTGGCCCCTAATGTGTTCAGCGAGCGCTTAGCCCGGATGTCAGCGTACTTTGATACGCATTCAGGACATCCGGCTTCGCTAGCTGGCATGTATCTGTGCGCTCACAGCGACGCCGTATGCGCCCACCGAAGAGGACTGTAAGATCGGCACAAAGGAGTGGGTGATCGACGTTTACAATTGTGCTCCAAGTTTGGCGATAGTTTTGGACTCAGCCTTCAGCGCTAATTGATCGCGTTGTGCTCACTCTGCGTCAATGGCTAGTTTGGGTGGGTGGGCACCATGTCACCCTACTGCAGGTGCTGTGTCGGAAGTTAGTGCTCGTGAGAAATAGACGAGCATCTTCACGCAGATGTAGCTATCGCACACCATTATCATTACGGGAGTCTGCACCGTGTTGGTCGTCCAAAAGCGGCACATCAGTGAACAGTTTTTCAGCTTGGGCGTTCAGATGACCAACCAGCACCACAATACCCGCACTCTTTCTGTAACGAAGGAGCCCGTTCGGTTGGTGATAGAATTCATTTTTCACCAAATCAGCGCTGCGATTTGTGGGCGCGTAGGCCGCAATGACAAACAGGCACCATTTATATACTCGCGACTTCGAAGTTCTGTACGAGCCAGCCAATCAGACGACGCATATTCGGCTGTTCATTGGGATCCAATCGATCAGGGCAGCTTCAGTCCGCGGGCTAAAAGCAATGCCCACACTGGCTTACCCAGCATTTGAATAAATAAATAATGCTTTTATTCTCGACAAGGCGAGACACACCTTTACAGGCATGATCGTTTTGACATAACAGTGCGTACTCAAGAATGTGCAAAAATCCGATATGTTTGCCATAACAGTGTTTGTGTAGGAAGGTATGCAATTGTGTGTGTATGTAGCTGTGTGTGCCCTATGCTGAGGCTGATGTTACATTCATGATGCTTCTTCACCACAGTTGGGCTAAACCAACTTAAACGAGGTCTTTTTAAGCTGGACAAATTTCATTCCACTTTAATTGGTTCGTTCTGCCTACCTGAATAATCTTCTATTAACTTGCGCACGTTGCTTAAGCTAATTGCGCTTATCTATGTTAACTTTATTGCGTTTGTGGAATATTTCGGGTAACTTGTAGACATTTTGTACTTGTCGCTTCTTCGTTGATAACCAAGTTACTTCATATGCTAATTCAACGAAGTTATGTCGGCATAGCCGTATTCTTTAACTGATCTACTCTTTAATAATGTTATTTCAAGTGATTGGCTGATTTTTGACATCCCCGGTGTGGCTGCACCTCATGTGCATGTTGACAAGGTGGCTGCATGTCTGTTACCCACTACCTTGTTCATACTGGCTCCAGGAGACAGCTGGTCGTTGCTGGAGAGGACGGGGTGCACGGTTCTTGTGGCCCTGCTAGGCTCGAAGAGTGGTTCCTTTCACTCAGTGGGAAGCGGACCACGGTCCAGCCACCGCCTTGTGTGCGATTGATTCCCCAAATACAGTGTGCTTGTGTTTGCCTGTGAAGGAGGGTGGGCCGGCTCCGTTGATGAAACGTGACTCCCATCCACATGCCTCCCGATCTTATTCCTTCGGGTTTACACTGGATATGGGGTGTGTGCGTGGTGCAACGCAAGCCACCCATGGTCTCTCTGTAGGCGCAGGCGTCCTGTGGCTGTCCCTGTGGAGGCCACAGTGACAAGCATATTCGAAACCGGATGCCGCCAACTATGTAGCTGTGTGGTTTGTGTTTGTAATTGTTGCTGCTCCATTCTTGAATGTTGGATATCCTCAAAGCTTGGAAAGGATTATCCGGATATCTCCCGACGAAGGCAATGAGAGCGTGCCGCCAGTGTCGCACGTTGAGCATCGCAGGGTAATCACAGAACTCGCACCTTGGAGACGAGTTTCTGATAGGCAGCAGATGTTGATCGAGAGTGTCTCTAGTGTTCGGCCAAGTGCTGCATGTTGGCCAGTCTGCAGAGTGTGCACGTTATGGCATGTTAGTCTTAGCGTGGATCGGGGATGAACTGATATCGTCCGCTTGGTTGAACAGGGGCTTGTCGACCGGACTAGAGCGACGTCCTGCGATTACGCCTGAATCGAAACTAGAAGACAAGCGATCATTGAAACAAGCTGGGGGAAGCCAAGAATTGGGAAGTTGAAAACAAGGATGATAAAAGTGAAGTTGGAGCGGAACGATAAGGATGAAAAAGGGCATGGGGGATAAGAAGAT